ACACATAAAACAATAACTCACGTAACACTAGCCATCATCTTCAACAGTCTTACAGTAACTACCCCATGCTCATCCCAGAAGTAGGCTGACAACAGCCATAGAAGTGACTGGACGAAGCGCTGTGCAAAAATAGCAATATTAATAGCACGGGCTGCGCCAAACGTGGGGGAATAAGACCAGTATGCTTTTCATTTTCCACCATAGATGGCTGTTGAGAGACGACTGAAAATCAGCGTGATGCGTTCTCAATGAGCCTCTCGTTCAAGAAAATTCATGCTGTGCCCCTGGTTGGTAGGGGCCGAACAGTCCGAACAGGCGTTTTTTTTTTTTGTTATAAAACGTGCACAGACTACCACAGTTATGTCTGACCTTACGCTATGTGTACAACGTGACATGAGGAAGAACTGTGTTTGAATTTTGTACTGTCCTCTCAGGATAGCGTTGTGGCTTCTGTGCTCAGATTCCAGGCGCTGTGGCGGTTCCGGTACCAGTGCTGGCCACGTATGGAAGACACAGCGCACCTCAGCTTCAAGGTACCGCCGCCAGGCATCGAGTTCACCCTGCCTTCGCCCAAGATCGGCATCGAAGCCCTGCCTGTGGTCGACCCCTCCTGGATGCCGCAGGTACTATCGGCCTTGGCGCGGTCCTCCACGGTAATGTAACACCTGCACCTGAAAAGATTAAAGCAGCGCGTGCGTTGGCATTGGCATCCGTCGTTACAGGTTCTTAAACCTTAGCTGACCTACCCAGATCCGACTGACCCTTCAGCTCCGGGTGGTTCGGCCATCTCCCGTGCGTTGACCCAGTCCTCCCCTCGTCCGATCGGGCACCACCTCCTGCTCCAGGTGAAGAGTAAGGTGGAGGACGTGACTCTGAAGGAGGAGCTACACTCGATCGTGTCTGCGGGCAAGACGCGCCGCAAGCAGCAGGCCGAGCTGGTGCAGATCGCGCTGCGCAAGGAAGACGAGAAGAAGCGGCTCGACCGCGAGAACTACCGCATCAGCACCGTACCCGTCAACTACCAGGCGGCGCACGAGCCCAGCTTCTATCACGTGGCCGGCGACGAACACGACGAGGGTGAGCGAGCCCGGCGTCGGGGGCCGGCGGCTGGCGGCCGGACAGGGCTTCTTCTAAACGTGCTAGCGGTGTGTGGAGGCGGTCGCAGGTGCCGGTCCCATGGGCGTGTGCCTCACAGGACGGGGCGAGCCCCAGAGGTAGCCTGCAACGAATGTGAACCCTGGGTATGTCCAGTTGGAGGGATCTGCGTGCGTGCAAGTCAGATGAAGCGTCAGTTTGGGCGCAAAAGAGGTCGGGTTCTCAAACTTCGAGGGATGCTAACGGTCCATGCGGCACGGCATCGAGTATCTCTCGAAATTTGTGAAGCTTGCACGACTTGTACGCAAACTTGTGCAAGATTACACTTATGCGTACCGGTATCCCTCCAACCTTAGATTTTTATATGGACTTGTTTAATCTGCCCGCTATTTTGCCTAAAATTCGCATTTTTGCACTTCACGCAATGTGCACGGAAGTGGTCATCATCGAAGCATTGAATGGTCCAAAATATGCAGCTATTTAATTGGCGCTAAATAGAAATGTTACAAAAATAGGCAAAAAAGATATATAAGCCGATTCAAGATATGACCAACGTTGCACTTGCGTAAGTGAACTTGGCATCAATACAACTTGGAATTCACTCGCGCAGCAAGTTGTTATCTAATTTGATGCCCATTTGTTTCGTGTTTGTTTTGTGACGCATTTTCCTATATGTGCATAGCCTTTTATGAGGCCGCTGCTGACGTGTTAGTTCGAGCGTATGGTGCGACTGCGGACGTTCTTCAGTACCTGTAAATCATTGCCTGTCATTTCTTTGCGGTATACTAGAGTGTGTATTTTGTACATAAGATTTGTTCACCTCCAAATTGTCTCAGCATGATAGCATAGCGTTTTTGTAGCTACCTTGTCAGAGCTTTTTCAATCTGGCTGCATGGACTGGCTTGCTCGCTCGCCTAGTCATATTGACGGGTGACTTTGCAGGCAATTTTGAGGTGCGCTCGTCTGCTTTGGGCAACCGCGCCTCGGACGGCAACTTCGACCACATTATGAGGTTTTATCAGCATTGTTACCAGATCGGAGGTTAGAAACGGGGTGGTGCTAGGCATGTATTAGTTTGATGTTGTTAGATGAACAGTTTGAAGCTATTACGTGGTGCAGGAAAGGGATCACCCCACATGTGTTTTCGCTAATGTCCGCGTATCATGCATGCCGCGGAATTTTCTACTATTTTGGTGCATTCGTTTTATAAAGTTTTCAACGTTGCAGTCCGAAATGAAAGCATGTCACTTGCCAAAAGTGGTTTCGCAGCAAGCCCCAGTTCGATGCCCTGTGTCCATGCCGTGCGCCTGACCCGCTGGCGCGCCGTCGGTCCGTGCCTCCAGCTGACCGGTGGCGCCACCTGAGCCGCTCACCTGCGCCCGCAGCCACGGACGAGGAGCCGGCCGAGGTGCTGCGCGGCTCGCACGCCCAGTCGGCACCGCAGATGTTCCCTTCGTGCCTGTGCACGGCGGCCACCAGCATCATCGCGCTGCTGGACGACACGGCCGTCACCGCCGACGGCATGGCCGTCTACTGCGTGGCGCAGCGGGTAACGGAGCGACCGCAGCCGCCCAAGCGCACTCCCCGCTGCCGACCAAGTCGCTGTCTGCGTCTGCAGACTGTACAGCAGCTGGTTACCCCGCTGTTGGTGTGGCAGTTTGGTCGAGAGCTTCTCTCACGTAAGCGGGCCAAGTGTCCGTTTCAGGCATATCGGGCCAAAGGATGTGACTGTGCTACAGGCTCTGAGGCACGCTGAGTAGCCATACGCCGCATAACCCCGCGGTCCGTCATCCGCAGGTGATATGGAAGTGCCTGGTGGAGGACAGTGCGCTATTTCTGCGTCACTTCCTGGAGAAGCTGACGCGGGAGCGTCAGGAGGTGATGATCCAGTACCTACGCCGGCTGGTGCACACCTTTCCAATGTTGCCACCGCAAACAGCCTTCGCCCTCTACAACTACCTGGTCGGCTACATCATGTTCCAGATCCGTTCAAACTCCGAGTACGCCACGCAGAACATCGCCAATTCGCTGACCCTACTCTGGCAGGTACGTGGATCCTTATGCAAATGTTCGGATATGTTTTGCTGTCGAGATAAGTGAAACAAGCCTGAACTGTATAATGCCAGCGACATATGGTTACAGCATGCAACTTTTGTGAGCGCGACTGGAGAAGTGTATCACAATATGCCCAGATAAACGACACGAACACAGGTGTTTTGACCACGCTGGTAGTTTTGATGTGTGTTTCAGCTTGCGTGAGGAAAAATAGTTTGCCTGTCTCCAGATACGATATTGATACCAGGTAAATGCGTCCTTTGAATTAATTCAACTTCGCTCGTGCGCAGGTGATTCCTGGCATCCAAGGGATCCTGTTTAAGGACCTGAAGCAGATCTTTCGGAAGGAGCAGTGCGACGCGACGCTGATGCTGACGGCGAACGTGCCGTCGGCCAAGCGGATCATCGTGCACGGGCCGCAGGGTGAGGACTCGTCTCGTCCACTGGCTTCTGATCATGATCAGCAGTCTTACGTCGAGATCATAAGATGGGCTGTATTTATAGCACGTTAGTTTGCATTGGACACGAGCTTAATCATGTGAATATAAGCCAGTAGCTGCGTAGCTATCGCGGATCAGCACAATGCCACTGGGAACCGGTACACGGTCTAGCATTTCCGGCAAATACACAGCCATACATAGCCATATTCATTGCTTCACAGCCATGTCAGCCCTCGTGAGCCTAAAATCGGGCTAAAAACATCACACTGCTAGTTAGAAACATTCAGAACATGAACCAGCTTTTGACGCCGCTGGTGATAGCCAAAGTCATGCAATAAAATGTCGTCACTTGAGTGAAATAGAACGCGCCACACGATGATGCGATGGATCCTCTTTGCCTGGCTTGATTTGCTCCATGTTAGTCAGGTTGACTCTTTGAGAATCAATTTACGGAATTCAAAGACTAGCAAAGCCCAAAATTTCGACCTTACCCACGAAGACGACCATTCGTTTTAACATGGTATATCGTCTTGTAATTGCGTAAATAACCTGGCGGCGTTGACAAGACAGTTTCTCCTACAGGCGTTTACAGTTAGTTCCATGTGTTAGTGTTCATCGTGCGCAATATTGTCCTCCCATTATCTTATTAATTTGTTTTCCTAGCCTAGGTTCTAGAATAAACGTGTCCATGTCTTGTTTTTAAGCCATTTAAGTTTGATTGGTGATGAATCACTATCAATGGCTAATCACAATCACACAATCACACAATCACATGGCTAATACCAAATCGCAGAAACGGACTTCAAAACTTGCATTAGTAAGTAATCTGACACAGAATGCAGCGTCCTCCATCTTTTTCGTGACTAATGGACGTTGTAGTCTCGCTTAATCCTGCTCGAGGCAGGAATTTGCCGTGAGCGGAAATTAGTTTGGTCCAAGGACTGATGTTTCGGCGTGCTGTACCGACAATTTGTTACCGGGCTGGAGACGTGCCTCAACTCACTGCACGTACCGATGTGATGTGCTGCCAGCTGATGGAAATCATTAAAGTCCCAAACCAACGGAATCACTGCAAGAACACGGAGGCAAACACGTTTTTCGCGGCAGACCAGTGGTAAGGTATTCGTATGTCCCATGGGTCCTTGCCGCCTGGCGTTGCGCCCATGACTTGAAGTTGTGGGACAGCAGGTCAGGCCTGTACACCGATCCCTGCCGTGTGCTACAGGTCCGGACGCGGGGGGCATACCGTCCCAGTTCCCGATCCAGGAGGACACACAGTTCTGCCAGATCCTGACCGAAGCACGCGAGTTCTTCAGCATCCCGGAGCGAGAACACGGCTCTTACTTCCTGGTCGACCACAAAACAGGTGCCAACTACGCCGGGCACGAGGAGCAGAATAGACTGGCTGGCCCAGTATATGTTCGTGCACGCATTGTTCAATGCGAGGAGAGCAAAAAGCACGCGTCTTTGGTTTCACGTCATTAAGACTGTTGTGCTGATGAGGTTAGCTGTCATCGCTTTGCGATCAGACAAAACCCTAAGAATAATTTTCATAGAGTAATAATGGGGACATGCGTGACGCCGCAGTCACTGCTATGCGAGTGTTTCACGGAACTTGCAATCAAAACAATTTAAATCAGAACTGCTCCTTTGCATGTAGGGTTAGGAACATCTGACTTGTTTGTTCAATGGCCGGGGGGTTGTGACATAGTGCGCTTGCATGATTATTACATGATCCCTTGACACTACCATCATGACACATTAGAGTTTGTTTTTTCAGGCGTGATTCACAATCCGAAGGCGTTCGTGCGGGACTTTTACTTCTTCAAGCGGTCCCAGTATCCTCAGCTGAGTCTCATTCACGTCGACCCAGAGGAAGCCTACAACGCCATGCAAAACAACGTGTTCTATCTGAAAATGCTAGAGATCGGGAAGACATTGAAGAGTTTAGCAATGCTCATGCGCCCAGATCAGGTGTGTTTCGGCGTAACATTAAATGGCTTAATATGTTCACGTGATTTTTTCTTTCATGAACTCAAGATGATGCAGCTGTCATGTGCGCAATAGTCGCAGAGGTGAATAATGTCCGAAAAAATTGCGATAGCATAGAGATCTGGAGCCTGAACGCTCTGAGCGCAGTAGCATTAGTTCATTTGATTCGATGCATTAGGCAAACCAGCGACTACCTGAACTTCTCAGCTGCAAAAAGCACGTTGGCCCTTTGGGGTTGATTTCAACTACGCCTCTTTAACGCCCTTTGGCCAGGCCGTCAAGATCTTTGTTAAGCACTGCGAGATAATGTCATTACACATGATACTTTTAATGCAGGTGAACTTTGCGTTAATTTGGACATCAAGAATGCCTTAATAGACTGCCTCGAAAGCATATTTCTGGTAAACTGCGTCCTAACAACGCTTGCGAAGGTTTCATTTGCATATTACGTTTTTCATCTTACTTGATCTTGCATATCTTATCATGAAGCATCTAGCATATTTGAACATGAATGAGGAAATCTGCCTCCTCATCTGTGACTGCGTGCGATTCCAGGTTGTGTACCAGGTCCTCACGGAGTGTCTAAGTAGTTCGTGGATGTGCTAGCCTAACTGGTAACGCAGCAATCAGCGAAGCAATGTATTCTACAGGTGGCACAGCGGGTGTTCTTCCTCCACGAGGAGCTGACCAAGCTGCCGGCGTTCCCGCGCAAGGCTCTTGAAACCGAGTTCCACCTATACAAAGGAGGTCATCTTGGAAAGGTGACAAAAGGGCCATAGGATGCTTACTTCCGCGCAGCCGAATCCTCGTCACTTTGTTCGCAGCATTTAAGCTGTCACCTTCTCATACTTTTGTGGCCAGCGATGGGTGTTGACGAGTCAGAACGGGCGGAGAGCAAGCAGGTACGGTCAAACGCATCCTAAACCTGATCCCAAATTATAATTTCCTTGGATCTTCGTTAACCATGTTCGAGGTGTGGGGGAGCGGCGATGCTGGCTACAAATCTGAAGGAGGCTGAGCAGAGGCGCGTGACTCCAGAAACTCTCGTCTGCATTGGAGAGACGCCTCTGTGGCATAGTGCGTAGTTAAGTCTGGTTACCTAATCATGTGGCATAGTCTAGTATGCCATCTCCACAGAGCAGACCTTTCACCTTTGCCTTACGTTGATGCAAGGAAGGTGATTGGAATGGGAACATGTGTGGCACCGCCGGCGACGCACCGGGCTCGTGATAATATGACCGGGTTCAGATCTGGTTAACGCGCGGTTTGGCCAAACTCATTATGCGACAGTAGGAGAGCTTGCGACGTTAACACCCGCGGTAGCTCTTCGGAGGTTAGGCAATGAAATTGCGACAGCTCAATGACCTTCCAGGAGCTGAAATGCCTGGATAGCATGCACAAGCTGATTTGGGTGAAGATGATGTCGCGCATGTTCGAGGGTATGGCCGGGAACTTCGCCTACTCCGGCGACATTCACCTCTTCATCAATGTGGTGAACGGCTGCTGCTGCTGCACTGCGAAGACAGCGCGATGCTGAGGCTCGTCATGGCTACCTACATCAGCGCCGCCCATCAGTTCAAGAACGTGTTCTCCAGCAATGGGTGGGTCGGATGCTGAACCGCTGGCCATATCGGTAGGATAGGTCCATTTGGATATGATTTTAACGATCAAGCACCCCTTTGGGTGTAATCGATAGAAGAAATTTTGGACGTCTGTTTCGTTCGACGTTTGTTACTGACCGCGATGCCAACCGTATGAACAAAGATACCAGGAGTAATTTACTTTCCAGCTGCAAATGCCTCTGCTGCCGCTCTGGCTGTGCTGAGTAGTGCTCTGCTCTGACCAACCCTTCGACTAACGCTGTATCTCTTTTCCCCAGGTACCTGCTGATCATGCCCACCATCCTTCAGGTGTACAGCAACCACCAGTCGAATTCACTGCTCTGCAGGACTGTAGAGTTTATCTGCAAGCAGTTCTACGTGCTACATCGCAAGCCGTTCGTGTTACAGATGCTGGGAAGCATTGCTCCCATGCTGGACCTGAACACAGACTCTCCGTTCGCTGATGCCAACAAGGTCCGCTTGGCTTAACGTTGTCTTGCAACAAGGTTCGCTCGGCTGAACATTGTCTTTGATGGCGTCGAACTTTTGCGCTCAAGAAGAAGGGGGATGATTTGCCAAAACTCACTTTTTGGTCATCTGTTGACAAACACTACATTACGACCACTTGTATATCATTGCCTTCAGGCTTATCATGGCTTTGTGAGCCAAGCGACTCCAATAGGATGAAGAGAGGCATATCACTGGTCTCTTAGCTTGCCACTGCTCACTGTGTCGCTAGAGTGAGGCTGCGGCCTGCTCCGGCTGGAGACAGCCCGCTGATCTGCGCCGCCTGGCCGCCCGCGCAGATCCAGCCGGACACGCTGTTCCGTCTGCTGATATCTCTGGAGACGCCCTCGCCGGACCCGCTCAACACCATCGAGCTGGTGACCATCGAGAAGCCACTCCGCGCGCTCGACTTCTGCTACCACGAGGAGACGGACGACGTCACCATCATGGACGTCATCAGCCTGTGCGTGACGGTGGTGGCGTACGCGGCCGACAGCCGGCGCGCGCACCAGATGCTGAACGTGCTGGAGGCAGTGATTCCGTTCTACCTGCGTCACGTAGAGCGCATCTCTAGCGTGGCCACGTCGGCGGGCCCCAAGGCCGAGCTGAAGGGCGAGAAGGAGGTGATCCACCAGCTGGCGCTGTCCATCAAGACGCTCCTACACAACTGCGAGCCGTTGGCCAAGTGAGGCCGGGGTGGGGGACGGGTCGCTATTCGAAACACGTGTGCACGGGTTCCATACTCACGGTCACTTTCACGGAATTTCACGGATTCCAATTTTTTAGTGTGTTGAGTTTTGGTTGACGTTTTGGGCATAATTATTGGGTACTATAAGTTTGCATCGTTCTGGTGTTTACTGCAGTGCCTTTTGTGTTGATTCCGCACAGGTATTCACGTGTCTGAAGTAACTATTTCGCTTCCATGTTCTAGCTTAGCGAATAGATTAAAACTTCCCTTTCACGTCAACCATATTGAAGGCAATCGATTTCATCCGTTCGGAATATCATCAGAATAACATGTGCATGGGCTGCGCCAGGGAAATGCTGCGACACATCAGAACATACAATGTCAATCTCCGCAGGAACTACACGGGTCCGACTCGTGGCAGCACCGAGTTCAAGACGTCCAGCATGAAGACGTTCACCAGGACGGCGGCGCAGGAGGCGCATAACGCCGCACTCGACCTGGACGAGGACTCACACTCGCGCATGTTTGTCAGCGACACGAGACGCACCAATTTCATGGAGCGTGACATGGAAGACTCCGAGGCAAGTGGAGCACGGTGGCCCAGCTCATAGAAAAAACGACTTTCGCGACACTGAACTGTCCGGCTGATGTGTCCCTAGCGCTAGTGCCAGGCCGACGCCGGTGTCGGCTGTCGCAGCCGCGTACGGGGTAGATGCGGTATTGGTCATGTGTTCTAGACGCAGTGTTGGCCATGGCGTGAGAGGCCTGTTGGAGACGCCAGCCCCCTGGACGAGTTGATGAGCTGATGCCGTCGGCCACTGTTGGGCCTGCAGGTGCTGCGCGAGGCCTTCCGTCGGCCGCGAGACACCCTGCTCAACATCGTGGCCGACTTCCTTACCCGCTGCTCGGCCAGACTGCAGGAGCTCAGCAAGAAGCCGGTCGCTGGAAGTGAGAGCAAGCAGGTCGAGTTGCTGGACGCAAAATGCCACAGCGTGAGTCCAGGGAGGTGGTCAGCCACTTAGGAAAACACCTTGCAGTGACTGTTACAGTCGACGCATAAAGGAAAAAGTTTCATGTGGCATGACACAGCCTACATGATGTTGATGAATAGCATCATGTTAAGCTGCGAGCTGCAAGTCGCACGCCGCAGTGTGACACCGTGATCTGAACGGCTGGCATTCCTTCGTGGAATGTTTCTGTTTCATGCGTCGATGCTTTTCGCGAGCGGAAAAGACAAGGCGGTGCAGCAAACTAGCTTTACATGTTGCATTCCCTTGCGGTGATTCAGCTCATGATGACCTCGCCTGTTTCCTGTAAAACGGAACGTAAGGACTTAAGTCAGTGCTGACCTTTTGGCGGCTCATGGACGTTTGCCATATTCTTTCAGAATCGCACACCGATTTAATTCATGTCAGGGGGATATGCAGATCTTAAGGTTCCCAAGTAACCGTTCTGGCATCGCCCCTCAAGTCCCACAGGTTTAGGCCTGGGGTCATTCACTGTCCGATAAAGTCCATTTTTCTGGGCGTCCTGGACAGTGTCAACTACCGCCATTGTGGGTGGCGTTTCGTGACCCTTTGTCGTGGCCGCGTTCTGAGACGTTGCGTGTTCTGCTGCGCAGCGTCTGGCAGAGATCGCACACAGTCTGCTGAAGGTGGCCCCCTACGATCCGGAGACAATGTCGTGCCGTGGCCTGGTCAAGTACATGAACCAGATCCTCACGTACCCGGACTGGTCTCAAGAGGCGCTCAAGCCGACACTCATCATCATCACGCGCCGACTGGAGAAGGTCTTCACGAAGATACTCAAAAAGAGCTTCATCAGGGTATGCGGTGACCTCAGACATGGGTGTAGGTGCGGAGTAGGGTGTGAGTTATCTTGGCGCTATATCGTCGGGACAGTCGTCAGCTTCAACTTCTCCATAACTCCCCCCCCCCCCCCTCTCTCACCATTTGTCTCATCGTCGGAAGTTCCGGCTCACCGGCCAAAGCCGTGCTAGTTGCGCCGCCCTCGTCCCGAGGTACCCGGGACCCTCAGCGGACCGAGACCCTCTGGGCTGACCTGTCACCCTTCCCATCTCCAGCGTCACACCGACTGGGTGGCAGCCGCCAACCTGCTCAAAGGCGTGTACACCACGCTCTGCAAGTACCCGTACATCGCGCACCTGCCGCCGCTGAAGGCGCTCATCCTCATCTGTCAGTCGCTGATCGTGGGCGAGAGCGGCGCGGCGGCAGCGGACGGCGCGGCCGCCGACACCGGCGCCGCCGTCCACTACCCGCCGCCCCAGCACTTCGCCTCCACCGTAGTCCGGCTCATAGCCATGCAGATGTTGGCGCAGGGGGTACGTGACAGCGAGGGGCAGGCCAGCCCGTCAGCCATGTGGAGTAGACCTCTAGCCTCGCGCGTTTTTTTATGACTGCGAGCTTCCAGTGCTGCGCTGGTGACGCTGGTGGCCGAGTTTTGGATAGATGTGTTTCGTGCGGGGCGGATTTTCGTAGTGTATGAATATGCGCGGCTTCATTTGTTTCAGGGCGGTACTCCCTTTGCACATCCATTGCGATTGGTGGTTTCCGTTTAACTTAAGTCAAACCATAACCCCCACTGCTCTGGTGTTTCAGATGTTTGAGCACATATCGTTGGTGAGGAAATAAAATAGCCTGATAAAACAAAAATGCACATTAGATATTAGCGAATAGTTCAACCGGGCGTGTTCAACCAGAAAAGAAAACTGAGCATACACCATCTGAACTCTTTGCCGTAGACGGATCAGTTTTGTGGCTGCATCACTTAGGGGATCAGTATCGTCCAAATATCTTCGCTTTGTGCATTGCTCAGTCAAATTAAACCAGCTGGTTGAACACCTCTGAATAAAACAGTGTTCAACAGCTGTTAATCTAAATTGTTCTGGCCCTTCTGCATCACTGATCGTGCCGCCTGGGCACACGAGTGTCTTAGAACCCTATGCTCGATCTCCTGTTTGGACGCTACTCATTTTGCCTTTGCGATTTCAGAACATCCCATGTCTGGTGTCCATACCAGCGCGACGCATGCTCGGGCCGTAGCGGGTAGTCTGCTAGCCATCCAGTTTTATTAGTCTGCAATAGACGCACCGCGCTTGGCAGTAGACCACGGTTCGCTGGGCGATAAGCGCAAGGATATTCAGTTGGCGGTTGCGATTAGTTTGTGCGTATGCGTTTGTGCATCTCCTTCGAACACTCTTCCGCACATGAGACAATGCGCACTTCTTCCCGACTCCACAAACTGACGTTATGACTGGCATCGTGATGATTCGTGGAAAAAGCTGCCACGTGGTGGTCAATATTTTGTGGATATTTCAACAAGCGACTATTGGGAAACATACCTTGTTGCAGACATCGTATATAAATGACGCAGTTATTTCCAGGCATCTGTTGAAAGAATGCATCGTCTACATATGTAAACAGGGCATACACATATGGTGTGATAACAAATCGCAATCTTGCTACGCACACCTGACGTGCCAGGTACTATTTCTAATTAAGACATAACAACTTGTTAGTGAAATCCGCATGAGGTACTTCTAATTGGCCAGATAATGCTGCCCCCCGCCCTCGGAAATTGACGTGCAAGTTGCCGTGCCGCGCAAGCCAGACAATTACCGTGAGGATCATAACACGCTTAACTAGTGTGGCCTGAAGGGCTGACGTGTTGTGTGGCATGCAGGAGGCGCATTCGCTGGAGCAGGTGTGTGGTGGAAGTTCCGTCTTCCCCAGCCCTGAAAAGACGGAGAACATGCTGATGAATCTGCTGCTGCCACTCTGTCTCAGGGTTGGTTGCGGACGAACAGGTAAGTTGTTGTCCAAGGCACCGCCATAGCCACGCAAGCATTGTTACGCATGATATTGGAAATTTTTTAGTCAATTGGGGCACCAGCACAGTCATATTTCGCCTACAATGTAAAACGTTGGCTGTGTGATGTCTCACACGTGAGTCTTTTTTTGGAAAAAAGGCAAAACGGGTGGGTATAGCTTAACATCAATATGGTCTGCATCTTTGCAAGTTCGTACTTTTACTACGGCAGTTCACACTGTTTCATAGCACCCAAGACCTGACAAGAGCTAATTTGGTAATGATCCCCGTTATCACACTGCACGTCGCTACCCTGGCCAATGACGTCGGGCCTAGTGAGGCATCACAAGGGCGCTCATTGATAAGGCCTGACCACGTGCTCGATTCATCTCGAATGAGTCAAGCACGATGACGCTACTTACCCTGCTCCCTTCCCTCGCCCAACGCGTCTGTTGTTTTGACGTTCTCTCCCGTTTGCTTGTTTGCAGACGTTCCCAAGATGCGGCAGGCGGACATCAGCTTCGCGCTGACCGTGATGCTACACGCTCTGCAGCCGCCGGCCTCGACGAAGCTGACGCCGGGCCTGGCAGCCGGCGCCGCCGGCGCCAGCGGCCTCAACAAGACCGAGGCCGGCCAGCACTCGACCAGCGAGGCGCGCACCCACAGCGCCGTACGGCCGTCCATCTACTCAGTGGCGTTCCTGGGTGGGTGGCAGACCACGACGGCGGCACCGTTACCTCACGCCAGCCGAGTGTGACTCGCGCTCGCGGCGTCGGGTGCAGGAGGATGATGGGAGACAGCTGTGCCTAATGCTGTGCTGCCCAGTCACGCGTGTTCCAGTTTGAGCCTGTCCGATGCTTGCGCTTCTGCTCCCCCGAGCACCGAAGTTGTCATCCCAGCACAGGGCGGGGTGGAGCTGAACTCTGACGACGCCACTAACCTTCCCAGGGCTGAAGATCCTGTTGATCTGCTTCGAGAAGAACCTGGCCATGGACTGGCACCGCGTGGCGCGCACTGTGCAGGAGCTGGGGTCACAGGGCTGCGGAGGCCTGGCACTCTGGGACTTCCTGGACTTCGTCGTCACTTACCCCACACCCGTCTTCGTCCTGCTACTACCCTTCATCAGACAGCATGTGAGCGCGGACGCGCGCGCTGGGAGACTCTCGCGTGAGACGCGAGTTGAGGGCAGCTACCAATGCGCTATGTAGGAAAGCATGACGTTGTGTAGGAAGGAGTCAGACTGAAGGTATCGTATATGTGTATCCGCACACGCACAACCTCCGCACCTTCGAAACGACCAGTCCAGCTTGGACAACACGTGCTAATACTCGGGTACGTCTGAAAACCATTCGATGAAATGAAATGTTTACTTTGTCTCGATACAAAACATCGAAAAACTATGGCCGCTTAGAGCTCAACGTATGCATTACTTGGCTGCTGACTCCATTGATTTTTCCCATGCCTGGTAGCTGGAATCACCGACATACGACTTCGCCGACGAGGTCCACTTCAAGCAGCTGATTCGCGAGAAGCTAGCTGGTAATCAGGAGGAGATGCCACGCATCAAGTCCAAAGGCTCTGTTCTGATGGAGTTGGCTCACGAGATGAAGCTGGTGAAGGAAGAGATCGCCAACTCCAAAACCGGTCAGTGACGGTGTGGTGGGCAGACGGACAAGACCAAGGTGGGGATATATTTGTTGTCATAAAAGTTCAGCGGAATGTTGATATAAGTCCGAAAAGCAACAAGTGCTGCGGATGGATTAATTGCAAATTACAGTCTGGACCATCGTCCTTGCGTTCCATCGTGCATTGGGTGTGTTACCGTCAATTTTTTTTCAAAGCAAATTGACTGGCTGGGATGTGCATGCAATGTTTTATTTTTGTACAAAATGGTGCGGGAGACTTTATTCGAAAAATACACTCTTGAACTGCAACAAGTTTGCAGTACCCGAAACATCACCACTTATGCACTTAACTCTCACTTACGTCACCCACTGACCAATACACAGATCTTAATGATGACTTGGTGATGACATAACCCTCGCCCTGGCAGGGGAGGTCGATGTGATCCCCTTCCTATGTTTTTTTTTAGAATGCCCCTCCGGCCAATTTTTGCGATCGTGCTCAAACTGTCAGTGGCCTATGTGACATCCATTGCACATGTATTTACGCCAAAAACGTCTCACTAGCTTGCCTGGTTTCGGAGCAGCGGTGATTTTGAGGATCACTGTGCGTCGATTTATGGCTTGGCGCGGCCGGTGACGGCAACAGGCGATGCCGCGGGACATGTGCGGCGGGTCAACATGTCACATGAACGAAGCTATGTATCACAAACGTATGCTCAAAACCTACAAGACTATACATCATTGTATTCGGAGTCAAACAAGGAACGCGGCTTCGTAGATAGTGCGTCGCCGCAATACATGGACTCGTATGTATGATGTAAAGCTGAAAAGGTGCGATTTTCGGGGAGATTTCACCTTTGAACTGGGATAATGGAATCAATTATTGGTCTAACAAAACGGCAATTAACTAGTACTATTCGTGAGATCTCATTGGTATCAATCCACTGGTGTTTTTGCTAAGCTCCTTCTTCATCATTTTTGAAACACCAGGGGGTCGCATCAAACCCGACCCCCCCCCCCCGTCCCATCAGTTCGCGTTATGAAAAACGGCGAATCATGGCGATTGTTAACTCGAATGATGGTTCAGTCGAAATGGTCTGTTCCAGGGGACTTCGACCATCGCAAGTCAGTGGTGGTAGACCTGCACAGCGACTTCCGCTCTCGTCTGTGGACTGGCTCCGTGTCGGAGGGACCCAAATCTTCCAAAGGTATCCAGAATATGCGTGGTGTGATTAGCTCCTTTTCCAAGAGTGTTTACCAAGTAGCGTGTGGAACTGTGCGCTGTATGGTCTAAACAAAGTCTGATTTCTCCAAAGCTATCTAATGGGTCGTTCTAGTGACTGTTCGATGGCCAGGCCTGTCGCCTGTTCCGGCTCGAATTCGTGCACGCGTGATCATGAGCCGTTGTCTGACCTGCCGTTGGCGCGTCAAGAGACGACGCAGCAGTGCTGAGCTTCCGCACCTGTGCAAGCGACATCATGCTTCATGAGGTTTCGGCAGCCGTAACACCCGACACGTTCGGGACCTGAGCTCCAAATGCTTTTCCGGCGTTTGCACCCTCCACTGCGCAGTGCCAACGTTCGCGACCACCGTTTTGCAATATGGCTGTCCGCTGGGTCATGTCTCGGTCTTCTCAACATGAACTATCTTACCCATTTTCATAACCAAATCAGTGCATTTTGTGCATCAGCCAAAGGGATGCGATCGTCCGCCAATAACCGATTGCTTTCAGCGACGGTGTACATACACGACTTGTATGCAAATGTAAATAAACGCCCGCCCCGTCCTGATACAGCGGTCAGTGTCCCCTCCCCAGAGCCCAGACCCACCCAGACCACTGCATCGGTCCGCCCGATCCCAGTAGACCAATGCATCAGTCCGCCCGATCCCAGTAGACCCACACAGACCGCTGTACCAGCCCGCCCGACCCCGGCCGTCCCGGACGCCGTCCCCGTCGGCAACAGCTGACCGGCCGCGCCCGGCCTGTAGTGTCAAGCCAGCGCTCGCTGCAGCGGGACGCCAGCGTCAAGAGCGAGCACTGGCCCCAGCCGGCCGGTCAGCGCACCATGCGCGTCTACTCGATGCGCTCGCGCGGCGCCGTGGAGCGCTTCCTGCGTCGCACCAGCTATGCCGGAGCCGAGGACCGGGCCGGTGGGTGTGGCGCGCACGCTGACGTGCGCCGTTGGACGGCCGGTGGGCGCTGTCGGGCGGCGCAGCTCGTGCCGAGCACCAGTCGGACTGGTCGGAGGTGGCATGGCAGAAAGATGTCTACTATGTTGCCATAGGTAGTACCTATTGACCATGTGTGTGTCATGGGAGCTTGCATTAGCGCTTTTAGGCAAAAAGGGGCTTTAAAAACTGAGGTGTGCTATGGATAATAATTCAACCTCCCCCTCTCCCTATCCTCCCTGCATACACCTGAGCCTTTTGCTCGCAACCATTTTGAAGAAACAGGCGCGTGCAATGTAGAAACAGGTTTCCATTTAACAAGAAACGTGCTGCCTGTCCGTAACGCGTATATTGTTCACCATGCCATAAAGGATTTGCATGATATGCGTGTGTTCCCTTTCTCACGCAGCCTTTTCATGTGCCTGTAAAAGAAAAACACAGGCTCGAGGGCATGCTACGGTTTTGACGTGACGTAAGGGAGACCATGAAAGCCGTGTCGAGTGAATTTGCGGCCATTGAGAAAGGGATAGCCGTGCTGACGTAAGGGTTGGCGGAGGGGGAGGGGGACGCCCGGATGCCATGTTGTCACGCTGGGAACTCATTTGACAAGCAAGTACGCTCAAAATTTGGTCAGTCCTGCTTAGTAAATAACTGGCTTTGGGCTTCTGCAACACTGAGATTCCCATAGTGTGGAATGCATGCAAAAATCAGGCAAGAATAAAGATGCATTGCTAGTTGATAGGATCTGTCGAACAGCCGCGACCTATGAAGGTGAGGGCAGCGTCGCCAGCCATCTCCGGTGCCGGTGATGAGCGCTGATTTCGGTGTAGCTCCACTCAAACCGTGGTCGCGACACATGTTGCTAGTGGCGGCTCTTCATTGAGGTTTGCGGTGCAGCTCATGGCCCTCTTTACGTTCCTCTGCCGGTTCCCTTAACCTTTTGCGATCGATAGTGTGCGCGTGTAAAAATGTGTTTGATGTAGCCGTCATTGGACCAGTTGATGTGCTTTCCACTAGCGTGTCCGCAACAGCCCGGTGGGCACCTGTGTCGATTCTCGCCCGCTGATCGGGCTGGCGGGCGCCCGCGCCGATCGCCTCCCCGCGGCCGGCAGAGGCCTCCACGCACACCGATCCTCTGTACCCGATCCGGCCGCCGCACGGCGGGGCAGGTCAATCAAGTCCACCGCCCGCCTCAATCTTGGAACTTCTCACCAAAAATATCTGGGAGACACCTCATACCCACACCCATACCTAAAATGAAACCTATACACCCAACCCAACCGTGTAACCACTTCCAACATGTGCCCACCACCCCAACCATGGTTAAAATGAGCCTGTGAATCTGTCTACTGGCCGTCGAGGAGCGCTACAGTTGGCTGTCTTCGCCGCATGACCTACCTCGCTGCTGTTTCTTCTCTCCGCTCTGTGCGCCGCGCTGTTGGCCGTTGTGGTTGCACCGGCCGGCCGCTAGGCGTCGCTGACGCCAGGACCGCCACCTCCGAGCCCCGGCTCTACAGAAAGTCGTTGTTTGTTATGCGGAAGCGCGGCTCCCGCCACAGCACGGCCGACTCGGACACCACGCCAGGTTCGTGTCGGCGACGGGGCTGGAGGGATCGAGCGGGTAGAGGGCACGCAGATAGGTTTGTGTCGACGACGCGGCGGAGGGGGCGAGCGGGTAGAGGGCACGCAGACATGAGAAGGCGGCCGCTCGCATCGCCGCCATAGCCTACCCGTTGGGCGAAGAAAAAAAAGCACTGCTGCGTGAATGTCGGAGACTGGGTATTTCTCATGTACTTCGTTTTAATATTTCATACTTCGTTCAATGTTTCAATTTGATGCATGTGAAGTAGAGTAAATAGCCTTTGTTCATATAAGAGACAAAGTTCAATGTCAATGTCAATTTTTCCGCTTTCCAGCTTCTTCGGGACTAAAAAGCAGACACAGAAAGACAAACATCGTTTTTGAAAAATTTGCCACTCGACACATTGGCTGAGCTCTGATTTCACCGACTTTCAAACGCTCATACAGTATCGCAACAATACACATACATGACGAACAATCAACAGATCAAATAACGGTTAAATATAGCAGAATGCTGATTGATGATGCAGACAAACGACATTTTTAACATGCGCTCGGGTACGGGGTCAAAATGACCCCCCGAAGGTTTTTTCCAGAATGGTTTCCGAACGGCGCGGTGTAGCCGCGCCAACTTTTGCATACCTGTAGACAATTGAATAGCGGATCGTTTGACATGACACATTTAGATGTACCTTGTAAGGTCGCTGACCTATGGCAGGTTAAAGTCAGGCCATGGTTTCAGCGAAGGCAATTTCTAGGGAATCGCTCAATCTGATTCAACAACGGAGTGTTTGACGAAGCCATACATCTCTGAGATGCTTTCCTAGGCACCACAAATATTGAATGAGCAAATTACGTTGACCTATGGTCAGGTATGAAGGTCAGACTAAGAACAAAACCAACCTGATTTATTACTCTAAGGCTTGCTGTATGGGATAGTTTCTGGTGCTCATTTCGAATTTATTGACAGCAGGAACCGCATTATACATCTTCCATTGACTTCTTGGAGGTCCGAGCAGGTCATTGACCTAAGATAAGCTGGGTCGACATTTTGTTTTAGGGACATACCGTCTAGCGTAATCTTTGTCGCTTATTCAAAGGCAAAACTCAGAGCAGTCTCCTATGATTTTGGTCAACATGACCTTCAAAAGGTCAAACAAGGTCACGGACCTCAAATGGGCTTGTCACCTTCGCTTGGAAAGTTGCCTAGGTTCTGGAGGCACTTAAGAGACAAATCTGGAATTTGACCTTGTTTGGCCTTATTTGACCTAAAGGTCATGACCTAGAAAGATCAAAACTTTTTACGTAAGTGAGTCCATGTACAGGTCAAGACATCCTGTAAATTTGGTGTTTCTAGCTTTCTTAGTTCACGAAATCTCAGGGGAGGCCAAATTGACCCCCCACCCGAGCGAAGGGCATCTAGCCGGCCACCTGGACGCGTGTTAATAGAGGCATAGTGCTCAACGTTGCCAAAACAAAGATCATAGATTTAGGCAACTGATAATCTAGACTTGGTTATATACGCGTCTGCTTCTCGCATGCTCCTAGAAGGCTGAAAATCGCAGAGCATGGCCTAGTATGCAATGCCTGTGAGTATGTGTGTGTGTGTGTGTGTGTGGTGTGTCTGTTCGTGCGGTAATGTTCGCGGCCTCAGAACACAGCTAAATGTATAAAGCTTATTACGGGCTCTGCATAAAAACTGTACGCCAAATATGTGTAGCATTCTAGTGCCGTGATTGACGCGTTGACACAGGTCTAGGTGTGCGCCCTCCAATTTACTGAACGGTAACTGCAGGCGACTCAGCAACGGACCTGGACCAGGCGATGAGCCCCGGCTCGGCTGACGAGGGCTCCACATCAAGGCCGCAGCGCCACCGGCTGCAGCGTCAGAAGGCGCAGAGCAGGAAGACGTTCCGTTTCCGGAAAAGTCGCCGGGGAAACAACTTCGAGGTGCGTCAGTCCACCCAGATGGCACGCGTTCCCGCCAAATGGACAGAATTGGAACTAGTATTTGCGCATGCAGCTCGATTTATTATACTGTTGTTGTGTGGCTGTAACTACGCAGCAGTGATTCTCTGGCAAGCTCTACAACGTGTTCAGCTCTCAAGGTTTGGAGATAATGACGCTTACTCGGAGGCCAAACAAGTGATAACTGATCACATGACCCCTAAGACCACCAGAGTTTGCAAATACAAAGAGAAAATACTGGAGCACTTTAGAGCACCCCTGGGGTAAAATCACGCAAAGTCAGACGAGTTTTTGAACATCAGAGCGTCTTTTTGTGTTCAGCTCGCTCGTCAGAACAGGCTGCTCCAGCCCCCCCATTGCTCCCCCCCCCCCCTTCAAGGTGCCCTTTTTATTCATTCGAGACCATAGCAGATATTACAGCTCCCTGTTTTGGGTCCCTGTTCCGTTTACTATTTTCGCCACCCTGCGTGACTATCGTGTGACGTTGGCGCGTTGCCCTCCATGCTCGCCGCACGCGGCGTTAATGACAGTTTGTACGCGATCGCCGCACGACTCACCTGTGTGTGCCATTGCTCAGATGAGCGCACTGGAGGACCAGACCGGCGAGGTAGACACAGGCGCCAGTGGCGCGGAGCCGAGCACGCCGGACGCCGCCGCGCCTTGCGAGATCCCTGAGACCATCGACGAGGTGTCGCTGCCGCTGTCTCCGCGTCCACCGCCGGCCGAAGCCGCGCCGCAGCCGGTCATCCTGAGTGATGTCAGTCCAACCAGCAGCAGCGCCGCCTACCGGGAGAGCCTGTGGCTGGACGAGGAGGACCTGTGTCAGCTGCAGACGCTGCGCGAGTCGACGCCGCCAGGGCAGCCCGGTGACGACAGCAGCCGAGGTGAGCAGTCTGCCCGGCGACCTGTCGCCGGCCAGCGGCTCGCTCGGCTCGGACCACACCGAGCACACGGCGCTGCTGCGGCCGGCCGTCGGCACCGGCGGCTCGGTCGGCTCCCTCGAGGTCAGCAGCGACCAGAACACGCTCATCTGATCCCAAGGTCAGCTGGGGCGAGCAAGTCCTCATCTTCTGAGGGAGGAAGATGACAGCTGCCCCTGATGACGCAGAGCAGAGCGACAATCTCATCCGTGGCCTGCACTGGGCAGGGCGGCTTGGCCTGATTCCTATTGGCCACTCATGGCCCGGCCAGCCCGACGCGAGTGGCCAGACCCACCAATGTGGAAGTGGCTAAGGTCAGATTTCGTCGACCCTCCACTCCAGCGCGAACGAGACGGCGGCAGGGCGAGGCCGGTCTGTGCCCAGACCTGGCGAACGTGCTCGGGTGGGGCCGCCTCCGAGCACCCCACCGTACAGGTCTAGAAGTCTCGTCTTGCGTTCCGTAGCTGTAGCGAAGTGACAGGAACAGGGCGCTCTCGGACGCCAAGGAAGAACGTACAGGTCCCGTTGGTTCTGGCATGATGATACAGTCGCCTTCCTTCTCTCTTCCCCCCCCCCCCCCTCCAAACGTCCTGGGACTCCCTCCCCCAAACAGTTCTGACGGCAGAACAAAAGCTTTATCAGCGTGTTGCAGAGTTGTGTGAAGACAGGTAGCAATTTGTTGCCGACTGTGACCGGTTGCCCACGCATCAAAAGACGCGTGCGTGTGACGTGTGCGTGTCGCATGTTGAAACGCGTGACTTATTGAAAGGAGACCAAAGGTTGATTTGGTACAATGGGCTTAATTTTGGGAAGCCCAAATAGTACGAGAGCTGTTGATGTCCAAACACTGCGTTACTATCGTTCAGTGTTGGTCGTCGGCGCAAAAGGTGATAGCTGGGCAAGTGGAATCATGTATATCTAATTGTTCACTGTTGTCGCAGTAACGCTGCTTATATGTATGTGCTTTGGAACTGAAAGGGGAGGATTCCAAGCCAGGCATTATCGTTAGTGTCAGTGCCAAATTGCGCCCAACCAGGGCCGTGGCCGGTGGCTCTGTGCTCGTGCGTGGCTTGTCGAGCGCAGCGCACCGTGTCTCACACAATCCTCGCGCACAAGTGATGTCACGCGCGTACCTGGTGCTGGTCGGCCATATTTACGAGGCACTGCATTGGAACTTGGTAAGGTTAAATTATGATGCATGTATATCAGGAGCGCCGCAAAGCTGCTTCTATCTACATTGCCAAAGGCGTTTTCTTTTATTACTGCTGTCACGTTGTTAAAAATACACGGAACAAGGCATGAATGATTGAATGACATGGCATTTCTATTCCTGACAAGATGGTAACTTTCAGCGTGATTTTTAAAGCACGTTGACTTTGCAAGTGGCATTCGCATTGCAGTGTCATGAATACCTGCCTAAGACTTAATTTTTTAGCCTTCGTTGGCGGTGCCGCGATTCAGCATCCTATCCCCAGCGACAAGAGGCACTGACAGTTTAGGATAAGTGGGCGAGAGGATTCGATCAAAGTAGATCCGGATCAGACCTGTGATTATCCAGACCGCATTTTTAAGACCCCGAAAGGGCTGCTGGCTCACTATAGCAGTCACAACCCAGCCTTCCTCCCTCTGAGAAGAACCGTGGATTCGATGTTAAAGTCTGATGGCACTCCTCATGAAAGGGAATGACAGGAGGTATTAATGGTTCTGAAATACCGATTTATACCATTTTTGCTCTTGTCTTTATTGAGAATGGTTATCATAGATCGTCAATAGTCGTCATATAGATGTCATCAATGTCATAGATCGTCAATATCATAGTCGCACAAATCTACAAATCGGGGATGTACCTACTTTCCTATTCAGCTGAGGATTCTATCCCCTCCCCCAAGTTTGTGAAGTGTGTCAATCTGGGAGCCGTCCATATTTTGGGGGAAGATTACATACTTTTTCACCTTCTTATTTTTCCTTCAATTTTGCAGGCCAGTTTGGAGGGCCTCGGAGTGATCAAGTGCGTCCCAGTCGATGAAGGTTGAGGTTCGGACGATGGCGATATTTGGCTAGTGCGCTCGATTCTGGACTTGTCAGTCTGGGATTCGGGCACCGGCCACAGCCATTGCATCCCACATGATACCTGATTAAGTCACCGGTCTCGCAATGTTCCTGGCACTCGGTGAGACGTAAAGCCCCAATCCTTGTTATTAACATTTAGGTCCGTGTCAACGTCGTAGGCCCTCCTATAGTACTGGAAAGCAGAAGACAATAGGAACGGCACCTGAACGATCGTGGTGCCACGGTGGAGCAGTAAAGAAGCTCCCGTCAGCAGAATAAGGTCCTCAGAGCAAGCAAGAAGGAATTAAGACCAATATGGTGGACCCCTGATTAACCGGGAGCACCCCGGCAGGCTAACGTTAGGGTCCGACCGGAGCACAGGACCCTCTGAGCAGAGGGGAATAATCCAAGACCAGTGTACATGAATTAATGCCCGCTAGCGATGGAGAGTGCCTTGGCAAATGAACGAATGAGGCCCAAGACAGCAAGTTAATGGTGCCCTAGCAAATGTGAAGTGTTTGAGATCATTGCAGCGGGCCGCCACGCGATAAAAAGGGCCCGGGCAGGTTAACGGAAAGGCCCCGGACGAGTGAAGGGTTTCCTGCAAATGAGATGAGAGGGAAAGAGCCCTAGATCAATGTAAATGGCCCCTGAGCATTGAGTACCTCGGTGTGTTACCGCCGACGGGCCCCAGCGACAGCATAGGGTCCTTCATGAAGTGGAAAGAACCCGATACCAATATGAAGGACCCCTGAACAACCGAGCGTACTCTGTCATTCGGGACCCCGGCAATAGCGCATGGAGCCTTTCGGACGAATGTAAAGAATCTGTGCAGGACCCTTGATCGATTAAGACTGTCCAGGCTTGTTAGCGGATAGTAGGACCCTAAATTCAACTAGAAAGTACCCAAGAGTGATGTGCAGATCCCCTGAACAATCGAGTGTGCCCAAGCACGTTGACAGATGGGATCCCGTCAAAAGCTGATAGGAAGAACCCAAGACTAAGTGTGATGGGCCACCGAACGATGGAGTGTGCCCGAGCAGCTTAACAGATGGATCCCTGATAAGAGCGCAAGGCCCTTGAAAAAAGAAAATGGAAGCACCCATTCTGGAGGGCCCCGAACGATCGAGTGTGCCTGAGCGGGTTAACAGATGGGGTCCCCAATAGCAACGTAGAGCCCTCTGCGTGGCACGGAACTCGAAGGGCTCCAGACCCTTGTAAAGGGCCCATCGCCATATCGCGAGCGTGTCGGCAGGTTGACCGAAGCCAACGTGAAGGGCCCTGAATAACCCAAAATACCCTCGCAGTTTAACACATGGGGTCCCGGTTATAGCGTACCCAGTTTTTCGGGCAAATGGGAAGAAACCGCGGAGGGCCCCTGTTCGACAATGGTGCTCAGGCATGCCAGCATAAAGGGTCCCGACACAACGCAGTACCCTCCGAGCAAATGCAAAGAAATTTAGGGCAACGAGGAAGGCTCCTTAGCGATCGGAATCACCCAGCAAGTGGACATGAGACCCCAGAAACAGCGTAGGGTCTCCGGGCATCGTAATGAGCCTCAGAGTCTCTTAACTACACCACCTCTCAATCAGTGAATAATTATTTTTGTCTACTGGTGGTGCCTTCACCTTAGCTTGCGACTGTTCTAACTGTTCTTGGTCGCCTGGTAGCCCAAAGACGTCAATTTTGTTGCGTTTTGTGTTTAAAAAACTGCGTTTGTTTGACCGGCTATGGGCACGCGGGACAGTGGCCATCCCCTTATGGGCACGGCTATGGTCCGCATCTCCGCTTCTCCATGTGGATCCGCCCCTGAGAGTCGGCAAGTCTCAGTCGCCAGCCACAGTGAGTCTCCTTCAGAGAGGCTCGATCTCACTGACGGGTGCGCACTGCCCCATTACACCAGCCGGCCAGCCAGTACCGACGACATCGCAGCGAGCCGGATGATGCGATACCCGCCAGCAGTCAGCCGCCGCAGCCGCCGCACCCGAGGCGGTGCCGGCGGCCCACCGCGGCGTCACCGCACCGCCCTTCTGACGCACAGAAACGCTTGAAGATGACCTCCTTACCCTTCGACATGCACCTCTAGACCGCGCTGCCCGCCTTACCCGTCCATCCACCGTCACGCCAGCATGCTTATGCATGGAGCCGGGCTGTCGGCGGCGGCGGCGGCAGGAGACCCCGCCCGCCCCGCGGGCGCAGCGGTCCCGGCCGATCCCGCGCCTGCCGCCGCGTCTCCGGCCGTGGCGCCGCCCATCGTGCCTGTGCTCATTCCGCCGGTGAGTTCCGGGGCACGGTCGCGCCCAGGCCAGACACCGCTACCAGCGCTCTAGGCAATTCGTAGCAACCATGCTCCACTAAATCACATGATCATCAGTGGAATGCCAAGTTGGCTTGCCATCTGTTGACAAACGAGTGAGATATGGCGTTGTTTTGTCATCTAGCGGCAGGAGTCAAAAGAATTATGCTGATGTAGTGTCAGCTAGCGGAAGAAATCAAACTAGTTCGAGCGCCGTGATCGCTGGAAGCTATGAACGCTGGATGTTACACTTTGGATGTTTGCGCGCTTGGATCCTATGAACGCCCCAATTGGTCACGGAATTGGATGCATTGGGATGTTATGAAAGCTTGATATTGCGATCTTGGATGACATGAACGCTGGCGACTGCGATCTTGGACGTTTTTGATGGCTTCCCTTTCGGCGTAGCATGTTATGTTACGGCTTTTTTCAACAGCGTCGTTCACGACTAACTTCACCGTTCTGCGTGCGCATTCAAGACCTTCTAGACAATAGTGGCGTGTTATTAGGCCTGGCACGCAGATTCCTCCTTCGGAGCTCACTTCAACGAGAATTCATATATCACCGATAAACATGCGAAAGCATAGGGAACTAGCGACATAAAAGTAAAGCCTTGGGGCATATGGCTTCCTTTGAATGATATATGATAACTTACACAGACCTGCTTGCTCAAGATATTCTCTCGCTTCTAACCTCACTGGATCGAGCGGGAAAAACGGTGTTTTGGACTGGATCCCTAGTCACATGGGATCTGTGGAAATGGCCTTGCCGATGCAGCAGCCAAGCGTGCTACGCAAGGGACGACCATACTCGTGGACACCGTTACCTGCAAAGGGATGAACCAGCCTTTTCGTCACTTATCAGGAGCGATGGCAAAACCGCTGGGATTAGCTCATCAATAAGCTCAAAGTCATCAAGCCTCGGGTCGAGCTTTGGCAGTCATGTTTCCGCAAAGACAGAAAGAGAAAGTCGTTCTTTGCCGCCTGCACATAGGGCCCACTTATGTCACACACCGGTACCTCATCTTTGCTGATGGTAGCCCCGTCTGTCCCGATGCTGTGACCTACTAGTTCTGCACCACGTGTTGCCTGTCGTGACCCAGGTGGAACGCGAGTGCCGTCCTTTGGACGGAATGCCTCAGATCTTAAATTGCCGGGCATTTTAGGTAACGGCTCTTGAGCTATTTGAACTGGAAAGCCTCTTAAATTTAGATCTGCGGTACGCTTCGCAGCGACGCTTAATCACCTGCACCATGCAAACTTTCACAGTCGTTTAGGCTGACGGCGTTTGCGTTTAAAAAAAAAAATGTTTGAATTGCTACTTTGCCTCGTGATACGATAGTTCTGGGTGCTGCAGGGCCAGTTGCCGTCGACGCACTTAAAATCATCATCATGACTACGTTCCCAAAATCCATTGATCAAAAAGGTTCGAATTAATTATTAAAAAAGTGCACAGAATGTATGTATCTGTGGGTGGTACTGGTTAAAAAATAAGCCTAAATGGTGGGGGAAAGGTTTGTGCCTCCTCAAGGCTTTACAGGTACCACGAAAATGAAACGACACAACGCCCGCGAAATTCTGAACACCATTTCCTCAGGCGCGTTAACACCTTTTTCACTGTAGCCAGATGTAAAATTTCCATAAAATTATGCGAATTGGCCAGATTTCTGCGACATCACTCGGTACCTAGTGTAAACCTTTTACCTCAGGGCGTGTTGCTTCCGTCGGCAACAACATTGTCTATGTCCTAGAATATCTTGCAATATTGTGCACATTACCGGCAATTTTAGGACGACATTATTGTTCAGGTCATTGGTGTACGATAGGTCGAGCTAGCTGATTTTAGAAAAATATTTCTTATTACATTTCATTTTACTCAGAACGCACTAATTTTTTTAACTCACTATCCAGGTGCTTAAATTTGTCATGAGCGTGTGGGAAATTAGAAGACATAAAGCGTATTCTAAATGTGTTGAATTGACAATCCAGAGTGAAAGGGTCTAGACATTCAAAGGCATATTTTAAAGTTGGCTCATGCAGCCCGGCCAGCCATTACCGCAATACTCGCTGAAAGTCGTTTTGCTACAAGTGATGAGACCAAAATGCTTGAAAATATTAATCACATGTCTACACTCGCTGGGACGCTTGTGCAATATTTGGCTAATCTCTATGTGCCTAAACAAGCTATAAGGGTTTCAATTCTTAAGACGCCCTATGCGAAGGTTTTTAAACTCGTATTGACCGGGAAAGATGCGCCAAATTGCAGGGCCGCATCGAGTTGCGTTCTAAAGCTACCGCAAAAACATGACGGTGGAAGTTGTGATGATGGGATGGCGTTGACGAGAACGTAAGAAAACAGCAACCGTACCTGGGGAATGGAGTTTTGCGTGCAGTACGTATAACGTAATTCAAAATCACTTTTCACCTTTCCCTTCAAAATGTCTTGAGAGAGAGAGAGAGAGAGAGAGGAGAGAGAGAGAGAGAGAGAGAGAGAGAGAGAGAGAGAGAGAGGAGAGAGAGAGAGAGAGATATATAT